ATGGTGCAAGCTCTGGCAAGGGTCTGCTTGGATTTGTTACCCCTTGGTGGGATAAAATGGAGGAACACATATGACAGTGAGACATCACACGGCAAGACAGGAAGTCGAGGAGGAGACCGGGTAGGGGCAGGCACAGGTATTCACAATAATGCTGTTGTGAGAACTAACTAGTGTTTCACCTATTCTGTTTGTGGTGTTCTCATGTCTTAGAGGTTCCATGACTTCCCACACTGCCATATAAGAAGGCAATCTCCAAACACAGACATCTTTGGGTGATGATATACGGCACCCAAAGTGCAGCAGGTACTGATTTTGGAATTACATATAACCAAAGATAGGAGAATACAATGGTTTTATTAATCACATACTAAAAGAGTCCATAAGATCTGACAGAGCACTGTTCTATTGTATGTGTGGGCAGCTATGTTCTAAATGCTAAAAGGAAATGATTCTATTAAATGTTAGCATAATGTCTAATTGGAAAGTAATGAAGGATTCTTCAGATTTCTTTGTTTGTGAGAGTAAATATAAAGAAAAAGAATTTCCAAAATTTACATGGCCTCTCCCTTGCTCAAATCACCACATAGCGTATTCTGTTTGGATATTCATTTCTAGTCACTGTTTTGTGAATCAAGGCATTCAGAGCTCCCTTTCTCAGTAGATTGTAGATGACTTTCATCGCCATAGCTATCACTCACTCAATTACATGTTGTATCAGGGGAAATGCAAGCATTTGTTGCATTGTCTATTGTTTACTTTAAACAGGACAGTTAAAGCTGCATACCAGATGTCTTAGATATGACCCATTAATATCACATTTAGCTAATAACTCTGTCACAGCAGATACATATTAGAAACTATGAGTTTAACATCTGTGTCACTCAATATTAGGAAAAATCATCTCAACTCGATAAAACAACGCTGAAAGCATCACTAGTATAAACTGTCTTTCCTCCACAACCAAGGTAGACATTTCCTAGAACTTCTCTTCAAGAAAATTATTCATTAGGCTGGGGATTTAGCTCAGTGGCACAGCGCCTACCTGGCAAGTGCAAGGTCGTGAGTTCAATTCTCGGTACCGGAAAAAAAAAAAAAAAAGAAAATTATTCATCAATAGTCTGTTATTGCAGAACACAGGGAAATATTGTGTCAGACATTTAAGCCATTTCACAATATTTTGTAATTCTAACAAACTTTGATTTCAAGGTCATTTCTGTAAAGTACTGTTTGTCTTGTGGTACTTAATTCTACTGATTCAAAAGATGGACTTGTAATCTGACATGCTATTATAAAAACTGTAGTGCTAGGGTAAAGGTTTTAGGACTACAGCTTAAATCACTGTCACTGGGGCAGTGTTTAATTAGTTTTAGATACCTTCTCTACTTAAGACTGATATATTAACTTGCTGGAGCTTTATTTTTCATTACAAAGTCCCCAACTGATTAACTTGTTCTATGATCTGTGTAATCAATTGTTTATCATGGATAGAACCAACAGCTGCAGAACAGTTGGAAATAACCCTGGAGCAAAAGAAGAAATGATTTCAGGATGAGAAAAACAAAATATGAGTCAACTGAAACCTATGCAAAGATGAGTCTAAAGGTCTCTGGTGTGCTACTTCTTACACATTAGAAGGAAACAGACCTTGCCCTCAGCCGTTAAAGTAAAAACACTGACAAAATGCAGGAAGCAAATTATCTGTCAGCGTAACTGAGAGGTTGGAGATCCTGTTTTTATACCAAGCAGTTTAATTATGTTACCAAAAATATGCTGTTCTTCAGATTTACATTATTTGTTTTGTGTATACCTTATCTATTGATTTTAAAGGAATTTATTATTATTATACATAAAATAAAATTCTTAGTTTTCAGTACATATATTGAAAATGCAAATTTGCATAGATTTACAAAGTATTAATGTTCCCCAAACTAACTGGTCATCATTTCAGAACAGTAAAATTACACTGGAAAATGGTTAGAGTGGGCAGAATCTAAGTGCATTCTGTAGCAGATAATATTTGCTTTCTATTTGTTTTTAATTAATTAATTTAATTATACTTCACATGAAGGTAAACCGTACTTACAATAGCTATTTTGATATTGAATTCCAAAAGCAAAAGTTTTCAAAGATAACATGGAATAAAAGAAATGTATTCATTGAATTTTTCAACTTAATTCAAATTTAAATTTTTTTCTTCTTTTTGTTACTGCAATCTGCTTGTTATTTTACCAATTTGCCCTATTTCCTTCCAGAGAGATTTCATAATTTTTTCTACTGCAGTTTTTTCCTCAGCTTCAGAACTTCCTTTGTGATGATACTGTATATGTAAATCAGATATAATTCACTTTATAGCATTTTCTTCAAAAGAGTATTAGTTTTATTAATTGACTCTGTTCCATTTTTCTTCCTTGATACAATTTTAATGACTTAGAGAAAGTATGAAGTTACTTTGTATGAAATGACTGATGTTATTAACTTTAGCAGCTTCATTTAAGAAAATTAATAATACGTCTTCCTCAGCAGTTCATTGACTGTCTTCACTGAAACAATTCATTTTCTTGGTATATATGAGAGAATGAGATCAGAATATTTTGCAATATGTTGAGCTATGGGACAAAAGTGAGAAGCAATATCTTTTCAAGCTTTCTCAAATTTGCTGTAATATTTCATATCTATCTATCTATCTATCCATCCATCCATCCATCCATCATCTATATATCATGTCCCCATCCATCTATGCAGCCAATCTATTTTTTTTCCCTTTAGAGGAAAGGCAAAATATTATATTGGAATATTTTTTAGAAGTATTAGTGTAAAATTTTAATTTTTTAAAGTTTCAATGTTAGTTTTATGCAGAGATTTATTATTGCTAAAGTCATTGTTGTTTTTTAAATATGCACAATTTCATCTATCTAAAAGTGAGTATTCAAGCTTCAGGATATAATTTCATTTTTGTTTTGAACAAATAAGTGAAATTCAAATATAATAAGATAACACTAATATATTTGATCATTTGCACAACTTTAAGTATTCATTGAATTTCATTTTGGGAAATGTAATCTGAAATCTATGGGGATACAAAGCTAATAAAGAAAAGGATGCCTTCCAAAGTACTTCCAGCTAACTAAGGAAGCTAGGCAAATGCATGATGCCACAAGTGCTGATAAAGGAACTAGGATACAGTAGAACTCAACTACTCAAAACTAAAAAATCAAACTTGAATGCGAGTGTACAGTGAGACAGGGAAAACACACACACACACACACACACACACACACACAATCCCAATTTGTTTTGGTCAATATTATCATTATTGTGGTTATTTTTTATAAAATTTATGACCATGTAAATAATAATCCAGAGAGAATATCATAGTGTATTTTCTTAAACACTTTCCTTCCACAGGGGCAAAATACCAGACATCTGTGACATAAAAGAGGAGAGGTTTATTTGGCTCAGTATCCAGTGGGCGTGGTCCATACTTGGCTTATCCCAAGGCATAAAAGGAAGGGAATAATGGAGGACAGCTGCTTGCTCCATGACATCCAGGAAGCAGAGAGAGAAGGGAGGAGCCAGGGACAAGCACACACTCTTCCAGGCCACACCACAGTGACCCAGCTCCTCCCACCAGGCTTGGACTCCTACCAGCACAGTCAAATATGAACTCAACAGTGATGACGAGTATAATTCCTCTGACCTAATTGACTCTAAAAGCCCCACCACTGGACACATGACCCGGTGGGGGGACATTGTATATCTAAATAGTAACGTGTAGGTGTTACGCTTTCATTCTATTCTTTACAATGTTTTGTTGTTCCTGAAGTTATTTGATGCTTTGATTTCTTTTTTTTTTGCTTTCTTATATTTCTACTTACCAGTCACCATTTCTCATTCAATTCCTGTTCTTTTGCTCATTGCCTGAGATGCCAGCTGCCCCGTCTTTATTGTATCCGCTCTCCAGCTTACTACACGTTTTCGTCTTTACATTATTTCCCTCGCAATTATCATGGAATATTCTTATCTTTTTCATGGTTGGACACCAAACTTCTGGATTCCAAAAGTTATACTACTTAACATTTTCAGTTGTTTCCTTCTTATAGAGTTGTATAGTTTCTTAAGAAAAATATTTAAGTTTAGAATCTGAAAATGGTATTATTATTTCCAGTGACTTGATTTGATATTGAATTGTGCGTAGGAATTATTTTCCCTCAAAATTTTTAGTTACTGCTCCAAGGTCCTAACTTCTCAGAATTCATGGTCTGAATTCTTTCAGTGGTCCTAATTCTGGCATTTGGCTTATCATTATCCTCTGAGGAGCTTTTAAATTCTACCTCCTAATTCTCGTTTTTCTAAACATTCATGAAAATAAGTCCTGATTAAGATTTTTTGAGTAGTCTCTTTGGCGATGAAATTCTTATTTCTTTAATCATTACTGTCTATTCTAAATTGTGAGTATTTTTTTGATATTGGTCATATAGACTATATGTAATATTTTGCTTTTCTGATCTTTAGAAGAATTTCCTATGTCCTATATTCTAATTCTTCTACTATTATTTTGAATTGAATCAATAACGTTTTTATTTCTTTTTTTTTCCTGTACCAGGAACTGAACTCATGACCTTGCACTTGCCAGGCAGGCGCTGTGCCACTGAGCTAAATCCCCAGCCCCTAATGTTTTTATTTCTAAGAGATACCTCTCTTACTCTGAATATTTCTTCTTTACAACATCCTACATTCTTTCTCAAATGAAATCTCCAAATATTTCTCTACATCTTTATCTTTTCTAATGGCCCTTTAAGTTTTTCATTTAGATTGTTTTGATTTTAATGCCTTGTGTTCAACACTTTCCCCAAATTTTGAATGATCTTGAGAGTCCCCCCCATTCACATTTAAGTTATATTATAAATATATGACTGTTTTGTGGAAGGTACAACTTGCCAACTAATTAATAAAAAACTCATAAAGCAACAAGCTTATAACTTGACTCCCTTTATTGACAGGATGTTGCTGGAGAAGAGAAGAGAAAGCAGTTGACATGTTCTAGCTGTCTTGTCAAATTAAGTGCTGAGTAACCAGACTAGTGGTATTTGGTAAGTACAAGAAACCCTAAATAGGAAATGTCATTAGCAGGTTGTCTATGGCTAAAGAGCAACTTTAGTAAATAAGACTAAGGATATAGAGTATTACTTTTCGGAGAATGTTACATAGCTACATACTTTGTACAAAGTTAGAGATTTATGAGTGGGTCCTCTGTGTAAGTAAACCTGGGAAAAACACAAATTGGCCTCATCAATTCTGGACCCTTAGCATCATGGACAAGTGTGAGAAGGACTTGAGGTGATTCTCTTGATATTTCAAATATTGCAGGGCATTGTTGGAGCATTTTTTGAAGGCATATAATACCCAGTTTTTCCAATAAATCTTAACATAAGGTAAGTCTTTTGATTTTTGTGCATCTGACTTGACAATCCTATCCTGTGTGCTAGCTCACTTAACTTCTACATTCTGAGAGATAAGCACAGTAAGTTCTGTTTTAGTGTAAAGGGTTTTGCTTATTCTGATGATGTCTTTCATCTTGACATCTGAGTTTTACAAACATTGTACCTGATATCCTGGTACTTAGAAACTCTTACACCACCCCATAAGCCTGTATCCTCTCTTACAGAAAGGTATGTACCTAGATATTTGAATGGATGGGGAAGGGATATAAAATTGTCTGACTTAGCTTTATAAATACTTCCAAGTAACATTTCCATGTTAGCTCTACCATTGTCTGTCATTTGCACAATGACTTGAGGTTTTTAGTATATGAATGTTTTAACCTACTCTGGTTCATTTATCTTCCTGGCATCTTTACCTTTGGCATTTTTTTCAATTGCCTTTTGACCATCTGCTTTATATTTTGAAAATTATATTGCAAGTGTTCACTCTGGTTTTCTTTTTCATTTGTGTTTGTGCATGTAATGCAATTTAGCCATGTAATCTGGTTTTGGATGTTTGGGGTGGGACTTGACATCAAATCTGTGTAAAACAATTTTTAAGGATAAATTTTACTGGTGAATATTTTAAAGCTCAGTAACACAGATTATGTACTGTTACCCCCAAGGCATCTACAGAGATTTCTACTGAAAAGGTAACCATCTAAATAGATTACCTAGCATCTGCAATCTTAAATTTTAAATTGAGTTTTGTTTGCATAATTGCAAAATAATTTCCTATCTGAATGATCCTTTGCAAATAATCAATACACTGCTTTAGACAACATGTTAAAAGAAAAAAATAGACTTTCCCATATCACTGGAAATGACCCAAAGTGATGGATTTTGGAGAGTAGTCCTCACTAAGAAAAGGAATGACATTAATTGACTACCATTTATTTCAGCTGCTGTGTTGATGGCAGTTCAAGACCATGCCAGGGAAGGTGGCCAGAATTCCATTTGAACATAGCGATTTTCTAAAGGAAAAGACAGATCAAGGAGAGCATTTAGGATACCCACTGCTGCCCAGATGTGAGCATCCATGCTATCCAGGAAGGAGACAGAAAGAATGAAACCACCCCCGACAAAATTGAATTTTTATAACATGTTCAAGTTTCTGGAATAATGATTTAGTGGGGCATACTAAAGCCTGTTTCCTAAGGATAGAATGACTCCACCACCACTTAGCTTCCATAAGAAACATGGCCAGCAGGATAAATGCCAGATTAAAAGAAACAAGTAATAAAAGATTAGTGTAACTAATGACACGACTGAATCTCAGAAACACTTTGGTGAATGAAAGAAATTACTCAAAGTAATATATCAGGTGTGATTTCATTTACATAACATTGTAGAACAAATTAAACTGAATCTAGTGGAAACCATCACAACAGTTGTTGCCCTGGCGCTGGGTCACATGCACTGGAAAGGAACAGGAGGCCACTGGGTTAAGGGGAGGGTTCTAGGTCTCGGCAGGGATTTGCTTTGCATTGGTTTATTCAAACATATCAAAAAGTACATTTAATGTGCATGTATTTTATTCTATGTAATTTTTACCTTTATTAATGTTAGAAGGCCAGATATTGCACTGAGTCCGTAGTCTCAGTACTTGCAAGGCTGAGCAGGAAAATTACTATGAGTTTCAGGGCTACAAGTGAGTTCAAGGCTATCTTGAACTGCATAGCAAGACCTTTTCTCAAAACAAAAACAAAGCCACCAAAAATAGTTTTAGACAAAAGAAAAACCTAATTAAAGCTATATATACTGCTATTTGCAGTAGTGGAGTGCGCCTGCTAGATATCTGCAACCTAGTTTGAATGCCCCCGCATAGAGCGAGAATAGTGGATGGAAATACAGAAAGACAAAGGGGAGATAAAGCAAGGGTAGGAAAATGGTAAGCTTGACTCTAGGTGATGAATATAAGAATGTGCTGAGCAAGGTTCTTTCAAATTTTATATTTGAAAAAGTTCATAATAAAATAGTTAACATTTCAAACACCGTAATTTTGAAAGAAGCATACCATTTTTACTACAACTTGAAACTGAAGTATTGATCTCAATAATGTCTTCTGAGAAACTTTTGGGGGATATTTTGACAATGTGACCTGTGAAAATTGTCACTGGTCTGATAGTTATCTTAAGGATGTCATGAGAAAATATAGTGTTACGTTATAGATGCCAACAAATGGACATCTATGTTTCCATTACTTTGGCTTTAAAAGTGTCACTACTGATTGCTGAATACTTAAAATCTGTCGATCCTAAAGCAACAGTTATTTTCCAATCCCAGGACAGATTATAGTAGTATAAAATGCCAAATGGATCCATTAGTTAATAAGAAAAAGTATCATTGTCTATACGACTGGGATCTCAGGAAAACTAAACTAGAAAAAAATGAAATAAAAAGTTCTTTTGAGTTTATTATAGTGTATAATGGTCTCAGTGTCCAGAAATACTGTAATGGAATCGAGTTATTTTCATGATTATGCCCTTATAATGCTACTGTTCTTTGTTTAAGCTTTTATAAATCCATTAAATATATTTTTTATCATTTTACAGATCATGTTGACATGCACATTTCATTTTATTGAATTATAGTGCTTCAACATTACCATCTCATCTGACTTTAATACAAAACAAATCAAAAGCAAAGTAGAGCAATGCACTATGTGTGAAAATTTTAATACTTTTCACTGGTTTCAGTGTCTATAAAAGCTGATTTTCGCTGAATCCTCCAGGGCAGTGGATGGTCTACCTTCTGATTTGGGCTCCAGTGGCAACACAACCCAATGACAGACCGTGTGGGCAGTGCAGTGCCATTCAAGAAGTTCACTTTGAAACCTGTTATGTGGCACTTGGAAAATCTCAGATAAGTCACTTACTACTTCTGAGCTTTTGTTCTTGGTCAGGATGGCCTGTTATTTTTAGAATTTATATTGTAGTCTATTCATACATTTCCCTGAGGAACAGGGGCTCAGTGTCACTGAGTCAGTGTGTGTGGATGGCATTGCGGGACATGAATATCGTGAATAATGAGAACTAACAACGCACACAGAGCTGTAATTAGATAAATAAATACATGATGCATTTGGTTGAAATAAGATAAGGAACCTGAATGAAAGTTTATTTCAGACTCACGGAAAGCGAATGGAATGTGTTGGATGTCCTTCTGCTTGTAACAGTGGGCCTGGGGCATCTGGTCTTCAAGGTGGCTGAAATAAGGGAAAGCACACATGAAGGTGTTAACTGATGTTGCTACATTTGATGTTAAGATTCGCTTGGGGTTGTACTTTCCTCATAACACATAGTAAGGAATGTGAGAGTACCCATGAATATTTAACATGTTTTTCACAAGTTTAACTTTTGAATTCATCCAAATATATGTGAAAAATGATACAAATATTCAACAATTTCTTTAAAAAAATGAAGAATACTTTCTAACTTATTCTGTGAGGTTAGCTTAGCATTATCTTAATACCAAGAACAGAGGCAATCTATAACAAGGACGGAAAATTACATAAAATTAGCCCTTATGAACATACATGTAAAATTCTGCAACAAAGTGTATGAAAATTGAATCCAAGAATGCATAAAATGGATTATACGCCATTTACTCCAGGAATGGAATTCTTCATTGGAAAACTAATCAGTGTAACCCACCATATTAACAAGCTAAAGAGAAAAAAAAATCAACAAAATTCAACACCCACTTACAGTAAAAACTCTCAGGGAAGTACTGATAGAGAAGAACTTAATCAATTCAGGGAGAAAAGCTAACAAACAAAGACAGTTAACAACACATTCAACTGTGTGAAATTAGATACTTTGTTGCTGATAGCAGGGGCAAGGCAAGTGTCCGTTCTCATCAGTGGTATTTAACACACTGCTAGAGTTTTTAGCTTGTGTGCTTTAGTAGCCACAGTGGGTACTGAAAGTTATACAGTTATGTAGATTGAGAAGTAATACAATTAATTTCGCTTAATATGTTTTAATGCAGAAATTCCAACGTATCTAAAAAGTATACTTCCCTGAAACTAATATGTGAGTATATCGTTAAAAGAATGTGAAAAATGTCAGAATCAAAATGGATTCTTTTGCTCGAAGCCTAACAATAGGAACAAAAATATTCAACAAAACCAGGGCTTAGGAAGCATGGTTGCCGGATGGTAACTGTCACCAAAGACTGTGGCAGAACCACAAGCTGCTTGGAGGTCACCACAGCCTAACACAGCAAGTACTTAGACAAAGACTTTGGTCCCGCCACTGTCTGTCCATCCAGGGCTGATCCCACCCTCGCAGTTCATTGTGGCCAAAGATCATTGTTTCAGATGCTCAGGAAATCCTCCTGAATTTGTGTTTAAAGAGTTCAGCTTTTGCCAGCCTCCTCAATATGCCCACAGTTTGCTACGGGACACACATTCCTATTGCAGGGCTCTTTGGCAAATTATTCTTTGGCAAAACTGAATTTTTTAAAAAATTGGCAGCATTAGACAGTTGAAATTTCAAACAAGATACAACTGGACAAATATTAAGAATATTTGTCTTACAGCAAAACCAGTTGTTGGAAAGAATGCAGAAAAATAGCAAATCTCATGCATTGTGGCGGCAGCATTACTGCAAAGTTGAAGATAGTTTGACATTTTTTTACCAAGGAAAACAATATTGCCATGTAATCTGACCATTCTGCATGGAGCTAGCTATCCAACTAATTGGGAAACTTGCAAATGCTCAAAGAATGTCTTTCACATGGATACATACTGCAGCTTTTTAATAGCGATGAAAACAGAAGCAGCAAAGATAACCTTTAATATGTGAATGGATATACAAAACATGGTATGTCCCCAAATGGAATTTTTCCCAGTGAAATAAAGATATGAGTTATTAATCTATGGAAAAAAACATGACAAATATAAAGTTCATATTAGTCAGTGGATCAAATCAGTTTACAATGTTCCATATTGTATAATTTGTTATATAATAACTTGAAAAATACAGAGCTACAATGACACTAGTTACCTTAAGGGTTTCCAAGGGTTTAGGGGACATTTGAATAGCCTGAACTATGGTGAATCCAAGATTTTTTTTAAGAAGATGTAACTATTTTGTATGATACATTTTTGGGGGATACTTGACATGATTTATCCAAATACCTAGAATTTTACAGTACAACATTGACATCACTCAATGTGTGCAACTGAGAAAACCACTTAAGAAGTTAGTGATCACAAGGTAAAATGAAGATTGTGACAAAATTAAGTCTAACTACATTAAACAGTCTGTGAAATAACTTCAAGTCAAAGGGTCAAGGGAAAATTTTCAACTGACTTCTTTTGAACACAACTAAAATCTTGAAAACTTAAAGCAAAAAACAAGTGAAAATGTAAACTAAAACAAACTAAAAACCTTTATAAGAGACTGTGTTTAAATTGTTTAGCCTCTTCCTCACGTTAGTACTTGCAAAGAATTTCAGCACCAGCATACAGGTCAACTATGGTTAAAGAAGTAAACTGAGGTTAAAGTCATTCATTTAGTGATGAATGAATGTATAAGCACATGTTTTTCCTAACCTAAGCATGTACATGTCAATATACACCCATGCGCTTCCTTGCCCTTACCTGTGAGGGAGCACATGAGCCAGAAGCAGAAGCTCCCAGCGTATCTAGCTCTACCTTCGTGGTTTCTGATGCTTTTCTTCAATGAAAGGAAATAGAAATCCTTGGAGAAATAGTTACTTCTAGGGTTTGAGCAGAAATCATAATAAATGAAGTCAGAGCATATTTTAGTACCAAGAAGTAAGGCTGGATAAACAAGTAAGTAGCCCATAATTATACTAGGATATTAAAGGCACAATTTTCAATTTAAAGAACTCCTGATAAGTAAAGGGGGAATAATTTTGGAACAAAATTAAACAGTATTTGATAAAAAATCTAAAATATAAAATGAGTATCCATAAGCCCCTACCAATAAGATTACTGAATAAATAAATCAGGAGAGAAAATATCAATCCCCAGAATATAAAAATTCCAAGTCATTTACATTCTGGCATTATAACTATGTGGGCTGCAGTAGGGAAGGAGGGAAAATGCAAGTAGTGGAGGAAGCTCAAAAATCCTTGTCAGCCAGGTGACCAAGGTCGAAAACAGTGCTAAGTCCTGTGGGCAGTACATGCTCTTGACAGGAAGTGATGAAGAGGTGCTTTCCCTTTGAGGATTTCCTTTCAAAAACCTCTTATAACAGGATAAAGCTTAAGGAAAACATCATACAAATCTCAACACAGAGAGATTCTAAAACAACTTCCTGAGCAGTAGTGTTCAAAACTATCAAGGTTACCAAACACGAAATCTGAGGAGATGATACAGGCAAGAGGGCCCACAGCTAAAGGACTTGCTAACTAGTGGGATAAGTATTCTGCATGAACTCCTTGCCAAAGATGCAAGATACTCAGAGAAAAGTAAGGCAATCTGCATGAATATTCTCTTCAGATAGTAACACAATATCAGTAGTCATTCCCAACTGTAACAAATACACCTCAGTGATGTCAGTTCTTTATTGGGAAATAGGGTTCAGGGCACATGGCAACCCTTCATTTTCGCATTGTGCTTTCTCCTATAAGTCTAAAATCACTCCAAGAGAAAAGTTTTTTAAAAAGGATCATGGAAACCATAGATGTGAAAAAATTAAATGATTTAATACAGGACTTATTTTTGGAATATATAAAAATTCTTTAAACAATAAAAAAGAAGAAAAGTTACCCTCTTAGGCTATTTTTAGAGGGACTGTTTTAATTTAGTTTTTTTCCTGGTTGAATATTTTAAGAAGATCAGTGTAGTGACTCCATTCTCTAATAAGTATGTTGCCATATTGAAAGAAAGACAATTCTTGCCAGTGAGACGAAGAATACACATCTAGGAATACACAGTGAAATATTGCTCTATAAACTGACATGACTTCGCTTCATAGATTGTATATTTGAGTGGCTAAAATTGAGGAACAGAGTGGAACCATAACTCAAGAGAGACAGCAAAGAATTTAAATTGGATAGTCCGCTTTCATTCAGAAAATTTATCATATACTCTTTGAATACTCAGTATTAAGGCTTTTGTTAGTGGCTTTTGATTACACTTTTCCTTAAAATGCATTTCTTAAAAACCCAACCTCAAGGAACATATTGTTTATGTAAGTTTGTTTTGTTTGATTTCTTACTCTACCTTGGGAGAGCAGATATCTTTCACCAGTGAACATTCCGTTTTGCAATGAGCATGAGTTGTGTAACGGCAGGGAAGAGGCAGTAACATCTGGTCAGAATTTCCCATAAATGAATATGTGGGTATGAGGCTTGCAGACCGAGTGCTTTATTTTAGATATAAATTATTAGATTTTAAATTCACAGTAGGAGCTTCTTCATTTAAAAGTGAAATGAGATGAACCAAGTAGTGTAGCTGTTGCTTACTTCAAAATTAGCCACATAATTAATGAGAAATGTTGGCAAGGGTTAAGGATCACGGAGTCCGCATTATTCATTTATGTATTTATTATGTATTTCATGCCACAATGCATTACCCAGAATCCATGTCTTATAAATAAGTAGGAATCTTGTAACACACTGAATACTAATGTATCTTGGCTGTGTAGAAATGTATTACATTCACACACCTTAAAACATAGCATATTAGATCTAGGACCTTGTAGGTCATTTAGTCCAATTTTATCATTTTTCAAATGGTATAAATTGAGCCATGGGAGTTATTTTGAAGAACTGAAAGAGAGTGCTCTATGTCACACATATTCTTAATTTCTAATTGATATTAAATTCTGGGTGTCTTTATTTTTGACATAACACATAATACACTTCACAATTTTAATAAAGATGTAAGATAATATATCAACATTTTGTGAAGATGTAGGAGCTCTAGTAAAATTATAATAAAATATAGATGATCTATGAATTAATTTTAAGTAATTCTCAAATACTAGAAATTACATAATTTTTCATTTTATATTTTAATGCAGTTGACAGGAAATTGTAAGGGGAGTCAGACACTTCAGCATTTTAAGAGCTTTAAGCTCTTTCTCATCATCTTTAGATTCCTAATGTATTTATTTTTGTCCTAAAAATAATTTGAACGAAAACTGATATAATTTCATATTGGATGTACATAGATTCTACTGTTGTTAAACGTGAAAAGGTGGTAATTAAATTCTGGCAGTTTTCTTTCTAAAACTAATTTTAATAGACTTTTAAATATCTTGCAAAATTTAAAAGGATAGATCTTGAGTATTATATTTTACTTGAGGCTGCTGAATTTTCATCTAAATTTTTCTATCACATCTAGCTCTTCTCTTTCCCTTATCAACAGGTATTAATAACTGAAAAGCTAATTACAGTAAAATAAATAAAAGTTAATTTTAAATAAAGCTGAAGAGCACAAATAACTTTGTAGAGTAGAAAAATGCATGGCAGTTAGAGGTCTGCATGCAATATCTAGCACTGTCGTTGAGCTTTATTATTGGACAAATATTTGATTCTCATATCCTTTAATCTTGTGTGACAACAGAAATAAACATCTTTGTTTCTATTTTACTCACTTCATAATTTCCATATTTATAATTTTTTATCCTGGAAAGTACCAGATTCTGTAGTTCATTAATCTTACATAACAAAAGTAAAATTGAGAAATAATGACAGTTATGCTTAAAATTAAACAATGTTCATTGAAAATAAAAATACAAAGTAACTCAAAGAACTAAAATTCCCTAAAAGAAATTAGGCTGCAAACTATTTAAGTCACTACGATTTAATAAAAGACTATTAAAAGCACCATTTGTTAATTGCTGTTTAAATCTTCAAGATATATCATTTTTCTCCCTTGTTTATTTTTATAAACAGTTTTTTTAAACATTTTAGTAGTTTCTGAATTGATTTGTATACAAAATTGAGGATGGTTTTCATTGTTGGCCTGTTTTTAGCATGGCAAGTAAGGTACTTTTAAGAGTCTGGTTAATTAGTGCTTATAAGTAAGGCAACCAATTGGACTGGAAGATCTGTTTATCCATAACCCATACACTTGGCTTTGGATTCCATTAAACTGTAGAAAATCAATATGGGGACTTCTATTTCTAACGGGATGGCAAATTCTATTATGGAAATCACCTTTACAATATATAGGTGACCTTGAAGGAAAATAAAAGACACCCCCGTTGACTAAAGAATAAAGAACTGAAAATAAGAACAAAGATAAAATGAAATGAAATGACAGTAGACTTAAGTGGTAGCGGTGACTGTATCCGAAACTACAATTCTCCTTTTAACACCAACACATGGAAGTGAAGGATAAACACTGTGTTTAGCTGGGCACACCACAAAATACCAGGGCTATGATAACTCCACTATCAGTGAAAAAAGTAATACAAAACTAAAATTGTCTCACAAAGAAGGAACTTTACATCTATTGCTTTTTATTCTTCAGAATTCTGTAACATTCAGCTTTAAATCATGCTATGTTACTGCCATTTCTATGAAAGAGACTCCAGAAATATATTCATTTACTTGCAAATTTCTGCTAAAATATATCAGGATGTTCCATTCCAAATATACTTAGATAAAAGAATTGTGAAAGTGTACACAAAACAGAATTTAGGAAAGGTAAGTCTAAATATGAGATTGCAAATGTTTTTTTGTCTATTTATGCCATTTTCATATAATAATTATATATGCAGAATGGCAATTCAAAATGTTTTATAGTGAATGGTGGGGGAGTCTCTTTTTTGTATATGATGAGAATAAACCATAGTTTGATTGAAAGAATGGCTATTGTACATAATGCATCTGGAGCTTTTCACTTAGAAGTCAGATGTTTCATTCATGAATATCAGTCAGTGAATTTTAAAAGATGGCAATGAATCTAGATTGGTAAGGCGGTTACTAGCATCCTATTTTGTAGGGCATCTGTAATAGCTCTATAATTACAGGGGAATTACATGTTCCTACTAATTACTTGATAATTATACTTGATATTACCAAGTAATTCAAAGATTAGTTACTATGTAACTTGCAATTTTGAGACCTCATTGCAACATATTTTTCCCTTACTTTAAAGGTTTGTTGCTAACCTCAATTGTAATCCCCCAATCCTTAAAAATGTATTTCAAATTATTTTTATGTTATGTTATGTTTTGTTAGAAAAAGCACATACATTTCAGAAATAACAATAAATATAAAGTAATATGACTTTTATCTGGTTACTTAATGTGGATGTTATATATGTATAAATCATCTGCACGGTGATATAAACACATAATAAAATCGTGTAAAATATATAAATATATAATTATATTTCCTTTAATCTAGATGGTTCTGTGAAGTCACCCAGAGAGTTATAATAAAAGTGAAATTTAAACCAAAATGATTTGGTAAATCGAAACACAGTACATTCGTATAATAAAAACAATCTATTGAGTCCAAACACTCTTTTAGGTTGATATTTAAATTGATAGCAAAGCTTATGAATCAAATGGTAAGTCAGCTTAAATACACAATGGACTCAAAAATATTTATTTAATATTTATTGGCGCAAGGATTTTATAATATTTTAGAAAATATAAAACTAATATGACTACTGGGTGTCATAGCACATGTCTGTAATCCCAGCACTCAGGAGGCTGAAGGGAAAGGATCACTGTGAAATCACAGTCAGCCTGGGCTGCACAGTGAGTCCAAGGAAGGCCAACCTGACCTATGTTGTGAGACCTTGCCTAAAAAAAACCCAGACAAACAAAAAACTAATATGTCTGTAACTAAGCAGCAAATGGAGTGTGAAATTTGAGTGTGCATTTTAATAAAAATCAAAGAATAAGAAAAGTATTCTCTTTTATTTATTGTGCCAGTTAGTTGTCAATAGTTTATGGTGTGATTTCCTTTTTTTGTGTTTCTTTGTTTTTGTTTTTTTCTGGTACCGGGAATGGAACTCACGACCTCGCGTTTGCCAGGCAGGCCCTGTGCCGCTGAGCTAAATCCCCCACTCCTATGTGATTTCCTAATGCATACTTCTTTCCTCACAAGGAGATACCCAATGGATAGGACCTCAGGCCTCACACTATACCTCCCATTGAGCACAAAATATGAATTACTTAGTTAAGAAAAGCAAGAGGAATTCAACCAGGTAGGAATACTTCTAATTAAAACTGAAATATTAAGCCCTGCAAAACAAAATTAGGGCCTCTTGTTCAAATTTTCTTAAAGAATTTCAAGAGTTACAACTGTGTATTAAATCAGGCATGAGATCTTTCTGAGCTTTGTGTATCTGCAGCTGCCTAAGTTACATGCCCATGTAGCTACCTTGTTACCAGGGTCTGAAATATTTGCTTTTATGGCCAACTCTGGCCAAAGCACACCAAAAGGGCATTCAGAATACATCATGATGAGAAGTGTAAGCTGCAATTAGAAATGAAAAATTAAGCAAGATATTCAAGTAATTAACTATATAAAAATAATGAAATTATTTTACTTTAATGAGCTTCAGATACTTCTAAACTGAGACCAGGGGGAAATTTTGACTACATATGCTGTATTGTTAAAAAACAAAAAGACTGAAAATAAATTTCCTACATATTCACTTTAAAAATCAGCTGAAAACTAGATCACATGCCAAAACATTACAGGTTGCATTATGACTTAGTTGGAGTAGAAGTATGTTAATTGCTAAGACACTGCAAGAATCCTGTAAGAATCTTTTCATGATAAATGCAGAAAGGGAACTGCGTGGTCTCTTCACAAGGGCAATGATCTCATTTTACAAGAGCTCTGTCCATAACAGTTTTCCAAAGTCCCCACCCCCAACACAATCACATTGAACAGGAAGTTGCAACATGTGGATGGTGGTGAAGCACAAACATAGGAAGTCAAAAGTTGTAGTGGTATTTCATTTTTCACTTATACACTGCAAATTTATGTACATGCTTAAAAGTTATAACAATCCTAAAATATGTTTTCATTTGTTTTGGATTGGAAGGAGGGACAAAGGCCTGACAGAAAGCAGCACACACATTGTTACTGGGACTCAAAAGGCAATGATGAAATTGTTACTCAATGTGGAGAAGAGACAACACATGCTACACAGCTTAGGGTACCTGGCACCGCTCTTGCCTGTGAAGACATGGCTTGTTCAAAATCATATTTAATGAACATGTGGAAAAGGCTATGCAGATTTACAGGAAAAAATATAAAACTAGTTAAATGCCACTTTTCATTCATTATGATAAAATCTGGAAAGAGAGAAAGAATTGACTAATTTCAAGGGAAATTTAAACAAAATAATTCAAACTAGGGACTTACTAGATTTGAACATCACAATCTCTTTTCAGTCTTCTGGAGCTGGAACTATGTTCGTACAGTAAGCAACTGCTTTAAGGTAGAGAAGAAATTAAGGGTGCAGTGTATTTTATGTCAGGAGGGGCTATAAGATGCTGTTAATATGTTGGAAAGGTGAGACAGTGCCTTCTAGACCTTTTCTTCAAATTCAAAGTACTTCTAAAAATCTCACAGACATTGGCTCCTCAACAGACAGCAGAATCTCTTCAAGCCAGCCTTGTTTATGTCCTTTGTCTTAAGATAAATGGTGTGAATTTGAATAGGATTTATGCAAAAAATCTTCAAAATTTTAAAGAGGTTTTTGGATCCTAAAGCCACACTGGCTCAGAACTAAAAGTTAAAGAGATGTTGGAATCAAAAGAAACCCCAGGCTTCCTAAAGCTCTATGGGCACAGAGCCATCTGAGAGAGAGACTCACTCAGAAGCATGGACCATTTCTAAAGAAGAAGGAGGGATGTGGAATGGGGCCAAGTCTCAGAGACTACGACGATAGAGTCTCAACTCTGAGACCAAGTCTAGTCTTACTGTACATCTATTCCATGCCCTGCGGCAGAGAAATCAGTGACTCTTCAGAGCAGCTTTGAAATTCTATGGAGCAATGACTTCTACATGTTTTTCTATTAGTACCACGGCATTTCTCTCATGTCTCTTATTTTTAATATTACTGTCCTTGTAAATTATTATAATTTTAGACTCAAAACCCTAATTATCTCCAGGTATATGCACAAATAATCTAATTCATTGTCCAGTGATAGGGCAAGAGAGACCCCATTTACTTTTTTTAACTCCATATTGAGAAGTCACTTAAGTTCACTTTAGCTGTAGTTGACCCACTCTTCACCCCCTCCCCTTGGTTAGTTATCAACCCACTTAAAGAAGAGCAGAGTCATAAAATGGGAACCGATCATTTTGAAATTCTATATCATTTTTCTTGATCTCTAGGCTGTTTTGTTTATGTATTTGTTTTTGTTATTATGTTTTTTTAAAGTGAAAAACAATTTATATGCATATATAAGGAGAGCTGGAATAGGTGTATTGCTGATGTCTGTGCTTTATTGAGAGAAACAGTCAATGCTTAAAATTTTCTTTTTTCTTGACCAATTTTGCACATTTGAATTTGGTAATCAGAATGACTGATCTGAAAACAATATGCAGCATAAGAACCATTGTTGAACTCCTACCATCTTGTATGATGAAGCTCTGCATCATTTCCAATGTTTTATTTATTTATTTTTTTACATGTTACTGTTTATGATTGTTTGAACAATCTTACATTCTTATGCCTGGTGGACTGGCAACTTTGTTGAAGATAACAGTGTGTAATGTAGCAACCATTGTAAATGCCTATCATTTTGTTTTGAGGTCATGTAGTACTTTTGTCATTTTTGTGTTGTTTTGATTTTATCCTCATTGCTGTTTTGTCAGTTTTTTAATTTTTAAAGTAAAAAAAATGGGAACAGAACAAACAGGACAAATTGGGAAGTAGGCTAAAAGGTAAACTGTAATGGTCATCTGGAATCTGGCTGTTCTAATGCCTTTGGGAGAGGTAAACTTTGTGATAATTGTGTGACATTCTTGTAAGAGTCTCAAAAATGAGGTAATGTTTATTACGGAAACCTAAAAATGCACTTAAACCAAAGGTGAGACCCAGATTGGTGTGGACATCTTCTCTGGCTCCTGCTTAGAGACTGTCTGTCAGCCGGCTCAATAAAGCTTTGTTCATTCCTGCCTTTTTGATTTTCTTGTAAGTGCCTATCTCATTCAACTCACTTGATGTTTCACCAGTATTTTAGACAGCCCCTCATCATAGTTTTGTTGGAAATGTTGTTCACTTTGTAAGTCTTGGTAATAGTCAACATTCATGCATTAATAAATATGAGTAAGGATAGAATTTTAAAAGAAACAGAGTTGTACTGCTGGGACAAAATGGGATTAACACATGGGCTAAGCATAATTCCCAAAATATATGGAAATTTTATTTTAAATGATGATTTGCTTTGCTGTGCATATTCATCAAAAAATTAGACTGGCATGATGACACTGCTGTGGTACCATAAGAGCTATGTTCAAAAGTTGAAATTATGAAATTATTATTTTCCCTAGACACTTTTAGTAGCTGAGGTTTTGTTTTTGTTGTTCCAGCCACATAGATGATACCAATAATATCATACTTATCTGTATTTCAGGAAAATTCTGATAAAAAGCTATGAAATAAGTAGACCTTTCACAATTCACAAGAAAAACATTGCATAATAAAAGGATGCTAGAAGAACACTGATTACATCGTAAGTCCTTAGTCTTCGGGAGGACACAGTTGAGAAGCTAGTCTTCAAAACTGATCATATGACTACAGTAATATTCTTAAAACTATGTAAATTGGTGAGTTGTATGTTGAGATGAATTTGTTCTGCTTTCCAATCTATATGCATTACACAGATTCCTACACAACAATGTAGTATCTCAAGCAAATCATTAGCAACGTCCAAAACTATTGTTCAATATATTGTTCAAAATATTGTTCACTATCTTATAGTGTAGTAGGTCTTTTGAGGAATATTATACTAAAATTATCTTTTTCTCTTAAAATGATACAGACTTGCAATTACAGGTGCTGTTCAATCATTTTTTTCTACATTTATCTATGTTTTGCAATAGGAATTCTGGGAATTTTAGGCAATTTGTGTATATTTTTAAAACTAGAAATGATTTGAGTGAATTTTAATGCAAGTTTACAGGAAGAGAACTTTCTTAAAATAAATTTTTCTTCAGTTTAGAGTAACCCAACTACTCGTAATTAGAAGAGTTAATTGCTGTACATTCTTTAGCAGTACCCATGAAAATTTGACCTTATGCATCTTTGTTGTGAAACTATTCTTTGGACAGTTTCATCTATTTCTTTTCTTTGCTCACATGGAAGTGATTAAATATTTTCTAAAATTCCAAAAATAATGCCTCATAGACATGTAGCTGCTGTTGAGGGAAATATGGATAGCCAGACACCGTCATCTAATGTCCTTATAAAGACCTGTCAAATCTGTGTATAACACAGAGATCATTTCTGCATTATGGGCATGAAAATGGTTGTAATTAACTCCTCAAACCCAGCAGCATGGTGAGAGGGATAATTATGAAAGAATTCAAACCAATCTCAGCTTAATTATTCTGCACAGACATGGGTGGGGGCATTCCCAATAGCCTCCTGTTGTGCTATTAAAATGAAACCAAGCTTTATTAGGAAGATTATGCCACACTCAAACAGTTATAACTCTCAAAGGGAAGTGCAAGTGATCAACTTTCTCAGCTAGTAGACTATTATAGGAACCTGAGTGTCTTTGGAAGAGGATGGTGTATTATAAGTTAGGTTGAGGTTATAACTGTGGGAAAAAGTTATTCAAATGAGGATTAAAATCTGATCTGACAGTAATGAAAAATTAAAATGTGTCATTTAGACAAGTTTGATAATAAAATACCTTTGTTATTTGATTTGTGCCATTATTTCTTTATTGTGGATTGATGCACTATAGAATATTAACAGACAGAATGTGTTACTATCATTATTATTAACCTGCATATAAACACATTTCTGTTCCTTATAATTTAAATTTGTACATGTTTAGAAAAGCAAAAAATTGTATTTCATTGTTTATTTTAAATTAAGAGAAAATAGAACTTTATCACTTTGTATTCCTGAAGTATTCAAATGATTAGAATGATTGCAACACATAGTATTATGTAGTAGACAGTAAGAAATGCTACTAAAAGACCATTAATTTTTGTCATGATATGTCTAGTGCTGACCATCTTAGGGACATTACTTATATGGATTACATAAATATTTGCTTATGACCTATGTTGTACAAATAAAAAAAGAACACCCACACATTAAAACGCAGATTCAAAACTACACTACACAGAAGAATTGACTGGTATCATATGTACACACAGAAGCAAACATATTTTTACAAAATTATCTAAAATATAAATTTGAGCTTCCTAGAAGTATAGGGAAATATAAAATGAACAACATGACCTTCGTTCGCTAATAAATTTCAGATGCAAAATATTTTTGAGATATATTTCTAAGAATGAATTATGTAGAATATTAAGCAATGTGACCTCATATTAATTTCTATTTAAAGACTATGGGAATAGATAACCCTTATTTTATTTAACCATTTTTTTCAGAGATAATAGAATATTTATGGGAAACTAGTATATAGACTAACATATCATTTTTATGCTGTATGTTTCCAATCCCACTTTTATAGTTTTATTGCATTTGTTGTTCATTGTTTTACTATTTATAAAATAAAATGTACATTTAAAGTAGACTACACAATGTATTTTAAAGAAAATAGAATTATCTTCTGCTCACAGAGATTCATGAAATATACAGAACATCTTAATTGTGAAGCTTGATTGAGTCAGTTTAAACTAGTCTGATTTACTTTTTAACCCCACACTTAGAAAAGGTCACTTGCCATAACTAGTAGGCACATACAGTGATCTCCACGGGATCTTAGTCCCTAAGATAATCGGGACAGGGCACATCATGACAAACATTAACAGTCTTTTAGTAGCATTTCTTACTACCTATCATGCAATACTATGTGTTGCATTCATTCTAATCATTTGAATTCTTCAGGAATATAAAGTGATAAAGGTCTATTTTCTCTCTACTACTTACTTTAAGGGCTGGTAAATGAGTTATTGTTCTAAGTTATCTTTTATCATTCTTACATGTTTGCCTCTCACTTCAATAGCTCCTCTAAAACCATTTGTTCTAAAGTACATTAATAAATACTTCTAGAAAACTAAACTCTGTGAGCAGAATTCCCAGTGTTTGTTTCATTCAGCAGCTTGCCGTCACTATAATAAATCATACCTGAGATAATCTACTTGTAAAGAGAAAAGACTTACATTGTTCACAACCACTCATTTCATGACCTGGAAGTGAAAGAAAGAAGAAAGGGCCATGGTTCCACAATCCATTCAAAGCAAGCCCTAGTTACCCAAAGATCTTATGGTAGGCTTCACGTCTTACGATTCCATACCTATTGGATCACTATGGCTACTAATGATTTATCATATAGGCCTTTGGGGAAAATTCAACACCAAAACTATAGCAGTTATGAAAAAAAGGAGCCATTTGTTTTTGACAGTTATCTTAGAGTGGTCAGCAAGGGTGATGATTAATATTTTGCTTAAAAAATACAAGAACTCAGTGTTGTACAGAACAGACAAAGTCAGTGGAAAAAATTGCTTCGCTTATTATTTCAGTAACAAAAGAAAAAAATACATACTTTTGTTTTATGACTAAATCCCTACTGAAAATCAATGAATGATGATTGACAAGCGTAAATTCACACTCTGCCAGTTACTCCATAGGCACTCTTTTGAATTTTCTAAATTCCCGAGGAACAGAATTATTATCAGTAGTAGTTTAAGAGTCACACTGCTATACGGCAGCCGCTTATAAACATTTACTCCAAACTGTACCCCAGCACAGACATTCCTGCAGATAATATCGTCAAGTTGAAAACTCCCGGAGGAGGAAGTCGCTGCACTTTTTCAGGTAAATGCGAAAGTTCTGCACGTAGCAAATCTAAATGGTAGCTCGTAAGTATAATTGCTCTTAAATATCCTGTAAAGCAATTGCAGACTGATTGACTTGGGGCGGTGGCTCTGCGCCCGTGCTTGCCATGCACGCACCTGGGGCGGAAGAGGGGTCGGGGGGAGAATATGTCTGGTTAACATGAACAGATGTAGCAGCAGGCAGGTTTCAGGCTCTATCTTTCAACAGAATCACCCATGTCTTCACTGTAGCGAGACACAGTAACTTCATCAAATGTTGTCTTGACTGCCTGATGCGGTTCAGCGAGATTTTGCAAGGGTGAAGTATTCCTGATGTCTCTTAATGTGGTCTTTGCTCCACTGAACTGCCTCTTGCTCACCCTGTGTTCCTTTCTTCCCTGGGGATGAAGGTGGCTCACATGACTGGGAGCGACTAACAGGCCTTAAGGTGTGCGTGAGGTATGCAAGGAGGAGGGAGGCCAGTTCTGCTCATCCTGACTGCATCCGGGTCTCTCCGCCACCCCAGCCCCGACGTCCCAGCAGACACCCCGTGGCTGATGCTGCTCGGGGTCCTCAGTCCCGGGTTCCCGTCACCTTGTCCTTCCTGTGGTCCTTTTGTCTCTCAGAGTATAGCTGCTTCTTGCTTTTGCTAATTTTTGGATTTCCTCGCTGTCCACTATTTGTACTTGGTCAGTTCCAGATGCATTTTTACTTAAATCCTGTTCTTAAATTCATTTTATTGAATTCTTTGTGTTTTTAATTTTTTTTTTAGTGTCCTTATAGGAACCTAATGTAAACTACTACTGTTCTTTGATGATGGATAAGTAAATCAAAACATAGAAGATCAAAAGCTTTACCTTAATATTATTTACTTACTATGTGAAACAAAAGGAAGTAGCAGGAGTAATAAAAATTTGTGCGTCATACTAGTAGATATTACTTTAGCTTTCCTCTGCTGGGGCAGAGAGGCCTGGTCTAGCGACATCATAGTTTCCCTGAAGGGTAACAAAAATGTAAATCAAAATTTTATAATGAAAATGTATTTGTGAGTCGTTTGTAATGTGATCATATTTTATATTTCATTAATAAATAGTAACATTTAGTCCAGATATTATATTTAGTTTAACTAGAAACTTTTCCTTATAAAAAATGACCATTAAAAAATGAACTATAACATCCACTCATTAGTCAACATTCACAAGCTTACTTAGGTGAGAAAATGACACTACATTGTTTGAAGAAACAAATGCCACACAGCTTCAGCTTGGATACCGTTGGCGTAGGAACCACTGGCTCTTTCTGATATAAACATCCAGTATATTTTTCCTTGTTCTAAAATACAACTTCCTGCAAATAATAGATTTTGGCATTTTGATTTTGTGGAGTGTCTCTATTAAATAGTAATTTTAAAAAAATGAAATAAGTAATACTTTTTTCAAGGGTACTTTATCATTGAATCTATTTTCTCTCACAGAACTTTTTCTTTTTCCTTTGTGGCAGTGGAAAATAAAATATTTTCTCCTCTATTCATGTTGCCTAGATGTAGTTCATATTTAAAGTTTATTTTTTTCACCTTGGGCAATCTGACAAGGACAAATGGTTCATATATCAGGAAATACCCTGCGCTGGGAGGTGAGGGTCTCTCACTTTGTGTACACAGTGTCCTACAGAGGTGACTATAATGACTGCAATACATCATGTGGAAACAGGACTGCAGAAGCAGGGTGAATCCACATCCCAGGAACTAAGGTTATTTATTTCTGCTGTTTTGATAGGAGCTGCTAGAAGCATTTTTCTAATGACCCTAATGAGTCTCTGAAGACCTTGCTTCTTGTCTTGTTTCTTACAGTACCTAAAAATAGAAGTCGGCATTTGGCAGGAATAGAGCTAGATAAATAGGTTTAGGAGCCTTCAACAAAGCTCTTTAAAACATTCCTGTTGTTGTTTCCTGGGCTGACTGTAGAAAAGTTTAAGCTCGAATTCTGTGGTTATCTTTAATCTCCTTAGGCAACACCAACAGTAGCTCTAAAGCATAGGTAGTGTGTGCTAAAAGTAGAACTCAAATGCTTTAAAGGTCCAACACCATTAATCACATCCAGAATCAGTCAAATATACTTTAATCCAATTCTCGGGTTTTATATTTAGTGCATTCACTACTATGAGTGCTACTCTAACCCAATTCCTGGCAATTTTATAATTTTGGAATTGCACAGAAGTATGTTAGACACATAATTATGCTAAGAATTCTTTAGCTGGAAATTTTTCTATAATTTTTTAGGTTAAGCATTAAAAGACCTTAAAATTAAATAAGATTCGGCTAATATAGGCAGTGACACTAAACAACTCTCCCAACCTAGCACCTTGGTAATGACCAGGATTCTAAGATTAGCCATTTTGCACCATCAGTCTTAGACTAGAACATCCCACCGAAAGAGGACCTTGAAAGTTTTTGTAAAATTTCCAAATTTGTTACAAAGTAATTTTCAACAGATAAGATACAATAAAAATTTCTGAGACGTAAAATAACTGAATAGTCTTGTATTTACAATGAATGACTCTAGAATGAAGAATGTGGTTTTAGAGTTATAAAATTTTAGTGGCTCAGTAACTGTCAAATTTCTTGGCATTTCATTTGTCCTTTTTCTTTAACTGAAAGGAGATATGACTAGTCACATTTTGACTGTGTGAAATACATCTGTGTTTCTCTAAAAATATACTACAGGTTTTGGCTTAGTTTGATTTATTTTAGCTGTAATATTTTAAATGAGATAGTAAGGTTTATTTTCTAAGTAATAAAGCAAAACTGAAATTGTGTTGAAATCAGTTCATGAAAAGCACAGACATTTCTCTACCCAAAAACTGAAAATTAAGACACAGTGAGTTAATTATTAACGCCATACAAACTTCCCTATGGTAGTTTATTTTAGTACTCTGATGGAGATTTTCTAATAGGACTCCCATTTAAAGCCACCAACATTTTAAAAGATAAATATGAAGCAGAAGACATGTTGAATAAGAAAATGTGATGCATCGATGTTAGAAAAACAAAGTTATCTTTGAATTAACTAAATGACTGCATGTAGTCTTGATTCATAATGACTTCATTGACATTTGAAAAACAATGATAAAAGTGCTTATTTGCAGATTTAGAAATTCACATATCTCAAGCTAATTACAGTACTCCAGTAGAGGGTATGCAATTTGAGAAGAGGTATTAAATATGAATCTTTTAAAATTTTCTTGAAATTTTGTCTATTCTTGAAGTATATTAAACTCTGAGAACTCATTCTCCTCAGAAATCTGATTATACTGAGTCGTTCCTAGTGCCTCGTTTCAGTGATCAGGATCATTTATTTTCCTTAACACGGGTAACTTACTGTCATAGACTGCATTATCTTAAAGAAGTTCATGTTTCTCAAAAAATGATAATTATTTTTGTTGCCTATTATGCTCCTAACTTTCATTTAGAATCTGTCTCATGAAAGACACATAAAGCTAATTTGTCACAAGGATTGTAAACTGTGCTAGTTTCTAAATCCCCAGATCTATCAGCTCTGCTAATAAATCTGCAATAACAGCAATACTATTTTCCTTTTGTTCTGTATCATTTATAATGATAATGCTTTCCTTTTGTTTATAGAAGGGAGCGATCTCCCCCTCTATCAAACTCTATGTAGCATAGAACATTATTGCTACTTTATAACTTTATAATAAACAATCAGACTTATACTGACTTATACAATGAGACATCGATTTAAATACTTCTCTTAAAATATCTTCTGGTCTACATTAAATGAAGAAATGCAATGAACAAGCTTACATTTAGAAATTAAGTGACCAAAGTGATAAAGAGAAGCTTGGAGTCCAAACCCAGGTTCCACTGCCAAGATTTCACCAAGCAAATAATTTGAATGCAAGTATCTTGAGAGAATTTTAATTTAACACATATTTAAAGCTGATAAATGGAAAGCAGAGATAAAAATCACCACGTTACTATTTTTTAAAAATTAATTTATGTTTTAAAAAAGCTTCACTTGCGTCCTTTTGAACCTGAATGATTAATGAAGTAATGAATAGCAGTATTTTGTATCATACTCGTCAAGACCATATCTTTCTCTGCAAATACACATAAAAACATCTTTATCATTCTTTTGGGATGGTAGCCAGGAAATGTGCTATATTGAATGGAGATGGGAGAGAGATTGTTCAGGGTGACCCAAGGGTGTATAACTAGAGCAATGGCATTAAATGGAGTGAAAAGAGAAAAAAAAAAAAAAAAAAAAAAAAAAAGAAGTTTAGAGACCCAAAGCTAAATATATAGATAGGCAATGAAAGGATGAAAAAAAAAAAAAAAACCTCTGCTGATCTTCAGGTGTTTTAAGTAAAGTTTATTAGGCAATGCAATGCTCTCCCAAGGGAAAAGGTGAACGCCTCATTATTTGGTCACTTAAACTTACCCAGGCAGAATATTCCAGGACATAATGTAAAAAATAATCCTTTCTCGTCAGAATCAGATGGATGAGATGATCTAACAGGGCTTTTCCGTCATTAATTTCCTTAGTCTGTGAACTAGTGATTGTGGCTGCAATTAGCACTGTTGAATGAAAGAGCTGCTTCAATACCAGAACTGGCTTCCCTGGAGCTAAAAGTCCTGGACCTAATTCAAAGTAAAACTAGGGAGAGGAGGGTGGCAGCCAAGCCAAATTACAAAAAATATTCTTAGAAAGGACAAAAAGAAAGAAATTCTAATGTTGTCACTGGTACTGTACAAGACTGTTCCCCCCTCCTTTTTTTTTTTTTTTTTTTTTTTTTTTACAAAGAAAACTTTGGTGGGAGTTGCAGTATTATTCTTTCTCACTCATGCATCATCTTGATTTATTTTCAAATTCGGAGATAATGAGTGTTTAGAGAATGTAGGACTTGGCTCTGTAGTCAGCCATTTGAAATTTGTCCATGTCTTCATTCTCCCCGTTTGCATGTTATTTTATCAAAGAGATTTTA